AGCAAGTCTCCGTCTGGTGGCAGTGGGGAGGAGCAATGAGATTACTAAAGCACCATCTGGCAACTACAATAGTAACAGATGCTTCAGGTAATAATTATTAATAGATGTTAAAATTAGTAGATTTTTTGAAAAACAACGTATTTATATAGTCTGGAAATACCTGTCTATAAGAAACCAGTTAAAAGGGGAAAACATAGCATCTTTACAATAGAGAAACTTGGCAAATGATCAAAGCTAATGTCACTTGTAATGGGACAGAAGTGACATCATGTGCCTCTTGATATTATGCACTGTGCAGGACACACATCTGTGATCTTCTGCCAAAAAATGCGTAACCTGAATCTAAACCAAAAAAAAAAAAATTAGATAAACCCAAATCGAGGGCCACTCTACAAAATAAGTAGCTTGTAGTTTTCAAAAATATCAAGCTCATGAAAGGTAAGGACTGAAGAGCTCTTCCAGGAGACTGAAGTGATAACAACTAAGTGCTGTGTGTGATTCTGGATTAGATCTTGGATCAGGGAAACAAAGGGATGTTCTTGTTTTTAGAAATCAGACTGAAGTAAAGGGTAAAAGAATATCATGCTTGCTACTTACTTTTAATCAGTTCAGGGGAAACATGGTGTGTGTGTTTGATAAATGTGAAATGCTAACATCTAAGAAATCTGGGTAAAGGGTATGTAGGAATTATACTATGTCTGCAATTTTTCTGTAAGTCTGCAATTATTTCAGAATAAAGTTCTTTTTTAAAAGTAACTAGTTTTAAAAACATAGCTGGTTGAATGCTGTGTCCCAGTAGGAAATCCCTTATTCCACCTCTCTGCTTTTGCTTTTAAACTCTTTATTGGATTTTATAAATTACACATATTTGTAAAAATTTCACATGATGGAAAATTGTACAAAAGTCTGTGCCCTCTCTCACCCCTGCCACCAAGTGGACTGCTATTAATCGGTTGGTTGTCTCATTCTAAACCTTTCTGGACTTAACACAGATAGAGAAGTATACATGCACATGTATATACAGACTCCTCTACCTCCATACTACTAAACATTGTTGAGTATCTTTTTTTTTTTTTTTTTCCCCAGCCTAATCTAGCCATGGACATCTTTCTCAATATGTGTATATAGCTCTGCTTTGTTTGTAACGATTTTTTTTTTTCCCTAAATGAGTCATTCCATTGTCCCTGAAACTCATTGTCAAGGACTGATGGACTAAGTTTAGTGTAGAACCATTTGTAACAACACCGGGAGCCTGAAGCTAACAGAATTGAAGTACTCTGTTTATTGTACCAGATAACCAAGACTCTGTCAGGCATGAGGGTGCTCTGAAGACCTCAGTGACAGGAATTTGGAGACTTTTGTTCTAGTGAGAGGCTGTTACGGTGACTCAGCTTTGGTCAACATCATTTTCTGTGTCTCTATATAGGCTCAAGGTTGAAATCTTTATAAGAGAAAACAGGTTTGTGGTCAGGGGAATAAGGGCGCAGAACACAGACATTGGCCCCTGAGTACCCTTCCCAAAGAAGAAGACTTAGAAGGCAGTAGCCATGTCATCCCAGCTACTCTTCCCAGGGCTGCTCTAATGATTTCATGTCTGATCTGTTCTAGTCTCTTCATTGAGTCTATCTTTCCTACCACCCCTAGAGTTACCAGCAACCACTGTGATTCTCAAATGTGGTGCCCATACAAACAGCATCAGCACTACCCTGAACTTGTTACAAATGCAAATTTTCAGATTCCATCTCAGAGCTACTGAACCAGAAACTCTAGCAAGTCCTCCAAGTTGATGCTGCTAACATTTGAGGGTCACAGACCTACTACATAAAGCTGATATTATCCCCCTCATTTTTAAAACCTAATGGCTCAGCTGAGCACACACTTCCAAAGTCCTCACTCATGGCCTAAGAGGTCCTTTGTGATCTCGCCCCAGTCTGCTTGTTCAGCCACCCCACTCCCGACCTCTCCCATCCCAACACCCTTTCTGCATCCTGTTACAGAGAAATTTGCTGAGCCCTTTCCTGAACTGCACCTGGTGAACTTCTACTCTTCCATCACTTCCTTGGGTGCCTTCCCTGGCTCCCTGGCATGAAACTGCCCTGATATACTTTTAAGTATACTGGACAAACAAGAATATGTTGTTTCTCAGCAGTGTCCTTTTATCTCCCAGAATTTGCCCTGAGTAGGGAGTTCAGGCTCTGTAGATTATATGGAACCTGGATTGGTTGAGACTATTGACTGTCCTGTAGCCAGTCAGATTGGGGTGCTTGTAAGTAACTGTTTATATTCAAATTAATATACTAATATTCAGAAACTATCCTTTCTGGTCCATGTAATAAATAGGACACCATTTACATTTGGAAGAGAAAGGTTCTCTGTTTATTGTGAGAAGAACGGTGAATTATGAGCAAGAGAGGAAAAGGTTGCTTTTGAAAGACACAGGTTCACCCTTTCACTTGGCAGTAATCTTATCCTGACAGCATTTAATGTGAAGTAATGGTAACCAGAGAAGAATCTTAGTAGGCTTTAATTAAAAACACAAGGAATTTTTTTCTCTTATATTCTTCCTCCTATCTGCCTCTTTTTCATCTTTCTCTTTTTCTTTTTTCCCTCTTCATTTCTGTGTTCTCCCTTCTCCTGCCCCTCTTTTTTCTCCTCTTCATCATCCCTTAACATTTAAAATGTTTTTGGCTTGGCTAATCCCTATGGATGGAAACTTAGCTGAGCAGGATATTGATTACCAAATATGGTATTGCTGCTAAAGATGTTAGAGGAATGTGGCTTGTATTCTAAGCCTCCGGCCTCTGAATAAGCTGCCAAACAAATTAGGTCATTTTAACTTCTGAGCTTTTTTTTTTTAAATAAGGATGCTGGAACTTTGATTTGGAACATGATGTTATTTTAGTTCAAATGGAGGGGGCATGAAGAAGGGGGCAGGGAGTAGGGGAGACTTAGTTCAGCATGTTTTAGGACTCAAGCCACCAGCCCAGGTTGTGTAAGAGGCAAACACATTATGTGGAGCTTCAGTTGGTTCTGGAACCACCAGAGAAAGAACCGAGGCATAGAATTCACATGTACGGCCTCATTTTCTGAGGCCAGATGCTCTAGACCACGACCAGGTCCCAGGATACTCTTCATGTTATCCCCAGTGGCCTGGGCCACAGGACTCATCTTAATGTGAGCTCAGGTTTAGGAAAGTTGCTTCTTCACAGGAAGGTTGGTCAGGTTTAGTGCCAGGGAGGACGTCCTGAAGTTGATGACAAGTCGGTACTATGTGTGTCTGATGGAGTGTGATGCGATTGAGCAAGTCCTTCCACAGCATACCTGTACTTGACACCCAGGGACTGTGCTTGTCTCCCAGCAGAGACGACAGTTCTTACCTCCATTCTTGGAAATATTTATTCTGTTGTAGTATTAGCTTTGTTAGGGTTGAAGTTGGTCCACCTCAGTGAGATCCTTTGTGACCTCACCTCAGCCTGCTTCACAATGCAGCTTTGCTTTTTGTTTTTGTTTTTCCTTATGTACTTTTTGGGCAAAATAGTATTGAGGTTTCCCAAATTTAAAAAACAACAAAACAACACAACACCAGTTAAAGAAAATGTTCTTATGTTTCCCAGAACGGGCACTATCTGTTCACTTTTCGGTGTTGATTAGGTATGCACAAGGGTATTCTCCACATCCCTTTTGCTACTGCCCTCAATTGGTTTCTTCTCAGAATGAGTGAGTCATGCTTGGGAAGAAATTCCACCCACTCCAAGACTTCTGGTTCAGGGCTCTGTGGCTTTTGTTAGGCCTCCCTAAGGACCTCTCTTTCCTTCCCCTTCCCCCCTTATTTCCTGTTAATGCCATTACTATCCAGCCACAGGCTCTTCCTTGTATCCTTGAAGCTGAGCCTGTGAAGTTTGAAGTTCTGAGTTGTTCATCCTGGTCTCTAAAGTAAGAGAGTCTTATTTTTGTGGATATTTCTTTTTCTTTCTTTTTTTTGAGACAGAGTCTAGCTCTGTCACCCAGGCTAGCGTGCAATGGCGCGATCTTTGCTTACTGCAACCTCTGCCTCACGGGCTCAAGCCATTCTGTCTCAGCATTCCAAGTAACTGAGATTACAGGCACATGCCGCCACGCCCAGCTAATTTTTTTTTTTGTATTTTAGTAGAGACGGGGTTTCACCATGTTGCCCAGGCTGGTGTTGAACTCCCGAACTAAGGCAATCCACTTGCCTTGGCCTCCCAAAGTGCTAGGATGATGGGCATGAGCTAGGGCATGAGCCACAGCACCCTGCCTGCTCTTATTTTTCTTCAAGCTCATTAGGAAGAACGGTGGCGAGGGGACGGGGGATGCTTTGGAGCCCTCAGGCCCATGTGTATACATTCAGAACACTAAATGGCAACTGTGGTCTTTTCATTTTCAGGACTCCAGTCCCTTTCCAGACCACACTATGAAAACATGGGAACTGAGTGGGTCCCATGGGTGCATATTTAAAATACACTCTCTTGGGATAGCTTTTTGACATGTAGGGTCCAGAATTCATGGTATTGGATGCTTAATAATGAAGGCATTCTTGAATGGTGGAAGGATTCCAAATAGACTTGTCTTGCCCTAACTTGTCTTTCATAGTGTCTGTGATTTATTTTACTGAATATAATCTGTTTTAGGTAAACTGCAGGAATAGGGTCAAAGGTAACTGAAATTACTATACATTAAAGTGTATAACTGTGCTAGGAATTTCCTGGTTCAAATTTTAAACTGGAAAGTTTTTGTCTAAAAAGAAAAGGAATAGTTGAAAATCTGTGTAACTACATTTTTTAAGTAAATTAAATACCACTGACTTTCGGGACACTTTGTGTTGTCATTTTTCCTGTAACCTGTGTAAGTAGTAAGAATGACAGTGGTTGCTGACCTTTTTTCCTGATAGACCAGGGTTTACTGGTGTGTTTATTTTGTCACCATTCCGGTTTGACTCTAAGGAAATGAAAACATCTTCCATTTGTTCTCTATTTCCAAAGGGCATCCGCTTCGATCCTGAAATTCCGCAAACACTACGACTAGAGTTTGCTAAGGCAAACACGAAGATGGCCAAGAACAAACTCGTAGGGACTCCAAACCCCAGTACTCCTCTGCCCAACACTGTACCTCAGTTCATTGCCAGAGAGCCATGTAAGTCGATCTACTTTTCATTTAAAAATAATAATAACTAAGAACCGTTCATGTGCTGCATGTGAGGTTACACCACGGGACATGGAGCTGGCTGAGTCTTATTTTCCATTTCTGTGAAGAGGTTGCCTAGGCGTTCTTGGTGTCAGAATTCCAAATACAGCAATCTTGTTTGCAATGGGCTGTCCCAAAAGATGGTTCAGCTTGAACAGAATCATAACTTCAGAATTTCATTTGATGTACTACAGATTTCCTTAATGTGATATTGACCATTGTGAGTATGCCCCTAGTTGCTTTGGGTATAAACCCTTTATTTCTCCATGCTCAGACATGAGAGCTGGTTCTCAGCATTCACTTTAATCCATTTGTTGAAGGACATCAGCTCGATGGCTTTGGAAAAATAGGATATTAAAAGTGAAAGAAGCGGATCTTAGGAAGTTGGTTCTATTCAGTTTAGCCATAACTCTAGGGGGAAAAGTAAACACACACAAAGAATTTATATATTGGAACAGTCAGTCTAGCAAACTAATACCAGCAAAACTTTAAGGAAATTTGGGGCTTCCTGTTTCAACTTAATTGGATAAGGACACTGGCTAATTGCTCAAGACGTCTTCTACCCCACATTAATAAGCTTATTTCATTATTTCTCCCTTTCATTGAATAACTTTAAAAGATTCAATTTTCTTTCTCAAGCTCAGTCAGTGGCAGAAATGGGGCATGAGACAGGCCTTAACTTTTCCTTTCATTACAGAGCCATATGTGATTTAATATGGCAGGGCATTCAAGGAAACCCAAATGACTTGGATTCCAAGTTATTTGGAATATTTCTGTCCTGTCATTTTTGGTCTGTTTTCTAAACCACACGATTGTGATCTTCTTCCTTTGATAATACATTTTAACTCTTCTTACTGAAATTGAAGGACACATGGATTCCTTGCTCCCCCTATGTCACATGCATGTCAGATTTAATCAGGTTATCTTTGGAAGTCACAGCCATTCTGTAGCTCAGTCACTCTTGCTTGCTACTCATCAGTAGAAACTAATAGATAAGTCTTCCAGAATGTTCTAAAATAAATGTTTCTAAGAATCCAGAAAGTCATAATAGATGATAAAATTATTTTGTTCTTTCACCTTCTTTGTCCCAGGGAAACGAGAAAACTTTGCTTACTTGTTTGGGAAGGAAATCTAAACAAAAGTTACATCTTACAGTGTACTTGTAATACAGGAGAATATAGGAACATCCTTTACATAATTCTTCATCCTTAGAGTATCTAGCTTAATATTTTGTATATTGTATGTATTTAATATTTATTATAGTGAGTGGATAAATTGATACTGAAATTGGGCTACCTGTAGAACTACAGATGGATTTCTATGCCTCTTCTCTCTGAAATTTCTTCTCTCTTGATAGAGGCATCAAAAAAGAGTATTTTTAGGATGCCTGAATTTGTAAAAATAACCTAAAGTAATTCTTTGCCTTTTTAGTGAATTTGCCAACCTCAGATCTCAGAGTTCTTTGAAAAGATTAATTCAGACAGGAAATGTAATGCTGGTGATACTTAACTTTACATCCTCAATTCATTGCTAAGTGCTCTTTTTAACAGGCCCACAAAACTTTTTGTGAATTTCCTACAACAGCCCTGTGACATAGGTAGCCAGGAAGGTTGTAGCCAGGTCACAACATGCTATACAAAAGCAACAAATAGGAACAAACGGAACATTCACAAGTCCCTGAAGTTACAGGAGAGCATAGTAACCGAGCTTAGAACTCTTTTCTGGCAAGCTCTACTCATCTCCCTTCCCAGCATACAGAACAGTGCAAAAATGGCCAGATAGTTTCCATGACAGGGTAAAAACTTGCTCAGCTGTTCACAGCAACACAAATTTGAAGTTAAAATAAATAAATAAATAAATATATATATAAATAAATCCAAGCAGCCAGCAGTGTATTCTTGAGGAAAATAAAAGTCAGCATGATTTATCTTAATATAGCTCATTTTTACGACACAGCGTCTTGATAAGAGCAAGTCCACTGTGGCTCAGGTCAACTTTATTATCCATTGCCATTCCCTCTGGGAACTGGGATCTTGCCCGTCAGATAAACTTGCTTAACTGGAAGCACACCGCAAGACTAAGAACACTGTGTTGGGTTTACACGGACAAACCCAGTTGCATTGTACTCAGAATTGGGTACTCAAGGTGGTCGGTTTAACTAATCAGGTGTAGACTATAATGGAATTGTAGAATTTGGGGATTTTTGGAAAGGCCCTGAAGGCTAATCTTTGTTGTAGGCCATAGAGGTTTTTTGTACATGTTTCTTTTTGTTAATTTTTTCTATGGTAGTGGCTGAAAAGCACTCGTTGCCATCGCTAAAAGAAGAATGTTCTGTGGTTTACTTATACAACAAACATACTTGAACTCTCAATTCTTCATAAATATCTGAACTTAATGAACTTAAACGAGCACCCAGTGTGCTAGACTCTGGAGAAGAAGGAAATTGGTTTCTGCCTTTAAAGAGCTGTCATTCTGAGGAGTTGATGATGGTCAAAGTTGTCAGAAAAACTTGGTCTCATATGAAGGACATAAAACAGATTCTGCAGCTTGGTTGAGATTGCCCCAATCAGACTCCATATTTGCTGAGCACCTACTGCATTTGTGCCAGGGATGAAGAGTGAGAAAACCAGGTGTTGCAACTTAACCTGGGTAGATGGTGGCCTGCTGTGGAGAACTTTGGCTTCAGGCCAGAAGATGTCAGTGAGAATCCTGTTGATAATTTTGCCAATTATTGACAAACTTTGTGACCTTTAAGAAAAAAAATTTTTTTAACTTAGTTGTGCTCCTATTCTCTAAGCTATAAAATAAGAATAATACTTTCTGATTGTTAGGAGAGGTAAATAAAACAATATCCTAGGATTGAGCTGAGGATTAAATAGGTGTAGTGTATTTAGAGTACTAGGCAAATGTAAAGTACAATCATAATTTGTTAATAAAGAGGATTGGGTTGCCTTTCTTTCCTAATAGTTACAGCAGGTATTGATCTGAGTTGTCATCACAGTTTGAGTATAGCCAATTGTCTTTGCAAGTTAGGAGAAAGGATGAGTGAAATTGTCATACAATTTCAAGAAAGTAGTATGTCTACCTGCCTAAATTTTTATTAATAGAATTGATCATTAATTTGAGCTTTTCTTTCTCTTTCTTATATGTAATAAAGTTGGAAAAGAACTGTGAGAAAGCGGGAATTAAGAGATGATGAAGAGCCGGGCGTGGTGGCTCACGCCTGTAATCCCAGCACTTTGGGAGGCTGAGGCAGGCGGATCACAAATTCAGGAGATTGAGATTATCCTGGCTAATGTGGTGAAACCCCATCTCTGCTAAAAATACAAAAATTAGCCAGGCATGGCGATGGGCGCCTGCTAAAAATACAAAAATTAGCCGGGCATGGCGATGGACACCTGTAGTCCCAGCTACTCAGGAGGCTGATGCAGGAGAATGGCGTGAACCCAGGAGGCGGAGCTTGCAGTGAGCTGAGATTGCACCACTGCACTCCAGCCTGGGCAACAGAGCGAGACTCTGTCTCAAAAAAAAAAAAAAAAAAAAAAGATGAGGAAAAATTATAAATGACATTAAATTCTCCTAGATTGTGCATTAAGTTGTATAGGAAGGTAGTATTCTATAATAAGAACTCTGCTTTGGAGATGAAGAAAGAGTAAGTCACTGTTAACTGATTTTTGTTTTTCTCATCTGTAAAGTGATGATGCTGTGTGCCAGATGCTCTCCTAAGCATTTTTACGTGAATTATCTCATTTGATTCTCAATAGCACTTGTTTTCCAGTTGAAGAAACTGAGGCCTGGGAAAGTCTAGTAACTTTCCTGAGGTTACACCGTCAATAAGTGTGATGGCTGAATAGTGTCCCCCAGAATTCATATGGTGACGTCTCTGCTCCTAATACCTCAAAATGTAACCGTATTTGGAGATAAGATTTTTAAAGAGATGATTAAGTTCAAATGGGGCCCTTAGGGGTGGAGCTCTAATCCATTATGACTGCTATCCTTATAAGAAGAAAAAGAGACACCAGGTACGTATACACACGGAGGAAGGGCCGTGTGCGGACAGAGGACAAGTCAGCCATCTGCAGACCAAGGAGAGAGACCTCAGGAGAAACCAACCCTACAGACACCTCTAGACTGGCCTCTAGAACTGTGAGGAAGTAAATATTTGTTGTTTAAGCCACTCACTCTGTGGTATATCACTATGGCAGCCCTAGCAAAACAGTACATCAAGTGATAGAGCCTAGGCTTAAATTCTAGGCTTTTTGTCATTTACTAGTTTTGTAAGTTTGGTTTAGTTACCTAACCTCTTTGTGTCTCAGTTTTCTCAGCTACGCAACAGCAATAATAAGGGCCACAGAGTCAGTACACAGTGGCTGTTAGTGTGCATGTGTAAAAATGGACACATTCATGTGCCTTTTGTCCCTCATAATTAAGAGACCTATAGTTTTTCTGTGTTTGTATGCTCCGCATCTCACATCTAGAAATACATAATGGATTTTTTTTGTAACATACCATAGTTTTATTTTTATGTTTTTTCAGTTGATCATAATTGCCTGATTCCCAGCAAGTGTGGAGAGAGGTGCCCTTCAAAGTACTTTTTAAACTTACAGTGTAATGAGGTCTGATTGGGATGTGATTAAAATGCACATATTTAAGATGGCTCATTTGGTTAGTTTGTCATAATACATATGGAAATGATTGAATAAATGTTCTTGATGAGTTTATACTGTTTGCAATATACCTTATTATAATAGTGCCCTTAAAGGTGGAGGCATTCAACACTTTATTAAGTTGAATGAGCCTTTACTCAATTTAGACAGATCCTGTCCTTTCCATTCAGTTTTTATGAAGCAGATGTAAAAAGGCTCCAGAACTCTGCAGTAATGAAGATTCTTACACTCCAGCCCCAAGGAGTCTGGTTCTGCAAGTCTGGGCTAAGACGTAGGCCCTGT